GCCCCCCCCGTCCCCCGCTCTTCAGGCAGCGCTGGCTCGGACCACAATCAGCTGGCCCCGGGGAGCACCTCTTCTCTGCCAAAGAGTTGACCAGCACTCTGTTCAGTCCCCTGATTTCCTGGGAGGGGACCACAGGGCTTTGTTCCTCCTGTAGGTAGAAACCTGCACAGGTAGCCTTGGGGGGGGTGGAGAAGGGTCTGTCCTCAGCGACCAGGAGAGAACACCAACAGTGTGCAGGCAGGACCGGCGCCGGGGACAGAGACTCACCGCCAGGGGCCTCGTCCCCCTCCCCTCCTGCCCAAAGAAAGAATCTCGGAATTTTCTTGCTTCTTTCCAAGTGACCACCCAAGGAGGCAGTGACAAGGCGGCCCTTGGCGACCATCCAAGCTGCTCCTAGGAACAATGGGCCTCTCTGCTCGCTGGGGCAGCGGGGAAGAGGGAGGCCCTGCCCAGCCAGCTCACACTGGTGAGCACCCACTGCGTGCCAGGCGCTGCCCAGCCCCGGGACCACACAGGGCCAGCGCGGCCATCTCCCTCCAGAAACCACGAGTGCAGGCGGGACACGGCTGAGGTTGAAGAAGGTCCGTGTGGAAGGTGTGTGTGCTCACGGGTCCGCACAGACGGCGTAGAGCCAGGGGGGAAATACACAGTGTGACCACTCCCCGTGCAAAGTCATGCCGAGGACGGCCCACTGTCCACACCTCCTGCCCCGCGGACAGCTGGCGGGCCTCAGTTACCCTGGGGGGGAGCGTCCTGCTGGGCGAGTTGGGCGGCTCCTGCAGGGGTCCGGCCGCGGGACCTCTGGTCGTCAAAGTCACTGTGGGGAGGACGCTGGCCCCATAGGGATCCCAGAGGAAGACGTGTCTCCCACTTTGCTGGTGAGCAACCGTGGCACCCACGTGGGGGCCCAAACCCAGTGCTGCCAGCTCAGAGGGGGGCGTTTGCCCACGAGGCCCGCTGGAGGCACCATGGGGCGGGCGGCCCCCAGCCACGGTCTTTGGGGGACTGAGCCACTGGGAGCACAGATGACCCTGATTCCGCACCGTGGCCCCTCCCGGTGCCGAGAGGCTCCCGATGCACCCTGGGACACGGCTGGGGGCACTTCCCTTCAGCCCGTTTGAAACTCTGCTGCCCACAGCGTCACCACGGACACTCGGCACCTCCCGGATTCCAGATGCACGGAGGGGCTCCCAGGGTGGGGGACAGGCCATAGCCCAGGTCAGAGCAGCCTCCGTGGGGGTGGGGAGCCGCAGGTGCAGGGCCCACCTGCCCCAGGGCCTGGTCAGCCCCGTCCTCCCACCTGTCCTGGGAATTCTGCCCTAATGACGGGGCCCCTGCTCCTGTCCCCGAGGTCCTCCTCCACAGAGTCCCCGCTCTGCTCATCTTCGTTCCTCTGGCTGCGCACGGTGCTCTGAGCGCCCTGGACAACAGTAACGGTCACCATCGTCACCCTGGTGTCACAGTAACAGCTCAGCAGGTACAGGCCAGTCCCCAGGGCACGCGCTGCCTGCCGCGGTGGCTTGGGCGAGACGGCCTGCCTGGGGCTGCTCTGCTCTGCTGCTCCAGGGAGGACGATCCAGAAGCCCCAGCCCCTGCCCCACCACGGCTCTCAGGACCGCGAAGGTCTCCTGTGCAGGTGCCCAGGGCTGTGCGATGACCTGGGACCTTACTGACTTCTTGACCCCGCCCCCAGGGGCAGGACACAGGTGGGGACCCGTCTGCAGTGGACGCTCCTCAGAAGGCCTCCAGGGGGCGCTCGGGGCACACACGGCCACAGGGAGCCCCCAGCCGGCCAGGGGCTGCATGTCCCCTTCCAGGCAAAGTCCAGGGCGGATTCGGGACCCAGCGCTGCCCTGTGCCCTGGCCTCTGGGTGGCCCCCATCCTGCTCCCTTCACTTTGTCGCGGGCTTCACTCCCACCCACACCCAGGTCTCACCTGGCTGCCCGGAGGCCACGGCACACATGGAGAGGGGCTGGCATCCAAGAGGGGCCGGGCCAGGTGAGGCCCTGATCCTCCGTGCATCTTGGCCCTAAAGTCCTGCGGAAGGACCCGGGAGGGTGAGCACAACTGGCCAGCTCAGGGTGGGAGTGGGAGGGAGAGCCGGGCACGCGAAGGCCCAGGCGAGTCACACCCACGGGGCCCCTGGTCCTAACTGGGCCTTCCTGCCCGTGAGCCCCGGTGACCCTTAGCTGCCCTGAGCGGGCGTTTCATCCCATCTTGTAGATGGGGAAACTGAGGCCCAGGAGGGAACAGGTCCACAGTCAGGAGGAAGGGCGCTGGAAGGCACCTGAGCCTGGAAGGGCCCGTGGAGATTCCTGGAGGCACCGGAGCCCTGGAACTGGGAGGGATCCCTGCCTCGAGTGCCAGCCACACTCGGGGCCACGTCCACAGAGCGGCAGAAGCTGCCCCCGGTGCTGCCGGCATCTCAGGACACTGCTTGGAGCAGCCGCCACGGGTGAGGGAGCCCACGCCATGTGGGAGCCGAGGTGGGGGTCAGCTGCAGCCCAGCGAGGGTCTGGGGCAGGCCTCGAGGGGGTGTGGCCTGTCCCAGGGCCCCTCACCAGGAGGACACGTGCTCACTGGGTGCTCTGCACGGAGCAAGGGCACCGCGATTTCTGGGGTACGGGGCCTGCCGACCGCCTGGCCCTCACCTGCCAACCACCTGGCCCTCACCTGCCAACCGCCTGGCCCTCACCTGCTGGCTGGCGGGAGCGGCCTGTGCCTGACCAGCATGTGTGCGCACAGGCCAGGGAGCCCCGTCAGCCCGAGCCTCAGAGAGGCCAGCAGCCAGTGACCGCTTCACAGCCCTGCGTGGGGACGCTGTTACAAGAAGGCTTCTCGACTCGGGTCCCACCAGGGTGACAGGCACTTGGCACTTCCGCTGCGATGACCACATGACATTCCCACGGCACCCAGAGGGGGCGTTTCGCCCACCCGGCCCACCTCCGCCAAACACGAGGACACCCATAGAACAGGCTGAGCAGCTGGACAGGTGTCCTAGGAGGCCCCTGGGCTGTCAGGTCATCGGGACCCAGTCGGGCAGCGGCACAACACTCCTAGCCGACGGCCGTGAAGGCGGGACCCAGGTCACACTGCAGCCCAGCCCCAGGGACAGCGGCTGTGCCCACCTGCAGGTCCGTCTCGGGGCTGTACCTCTCCAGCGTCTGGAAGGCCCTGGAGTACACCTCCACCGCCTTGGCATGGAAGACCATCTCGATGGTCACGAAGTCCGAGAGAATCCTCTGTGGGAGGCAAGCCCGTGGCGTCGGCACCGCGGGAATTTAAGTCAGTTTTCGTCTGTTTGTGTTTGAACTAGAGGACGCTGTTGCATGGCTCCAAGTCAGACTGCGGGAAGTCCTCGCTGAGGACACCTGCCCCTTCCTGCCCTCCCCCTCCCCTCCACCTCCTGGAGATAGAAACTTCCAGAAGGTCCCTGGGGGGTGAGCTCTCCTCTGCCCTGGTGGCTCTGCTCTCCTGGGGCAGGAAGCTCCTCTTGGCTCCTGCCTCCCATTGGTCTGGGGGCGACTCTGACTGATTTGACCGTCCCCAGCCCTGGGGCACGTGGCTGGTTTCCAGGTCTCCTGACGGGGACAGGGCAGCTGGACACCCTCCACAGACACCCTTCCATTCCCGCTGGTCCAGCTGTGGTGAATCCCCGGGTGGCATGGCGGGGCCCAAGGTCAAAAGCACTGGGGTGACCATCACGCTGCCCATTGGCCCTGTCCCAGAGGGTACTGGACGTGGGGGGGGCTGGTGGACAGGAGGACCTTCCAGGCCCAGTCCACAGCCCCCGCCTGGCTCACGGCGGCCTTCCCCCTCAGCGGGCAGTTGTCTGCAGGCTCCGGCTGCAAGTGGGCCTCCCTGGAGAGCAGGGGGCTGCAGGGAGACGCTGCCCAGCCTGGAAGCCATGACGACTGACCGTCCAGTGACACTTCTCTGGACCAGCTGGCCCTGCTGGTCAAGCAAGCCCTGGTGGTCTCTGCTGCCCCAGGCCCAGGCTCCTGCAGGGCAGGGCCCAGTGGACAATCCTGCCTGCCCCTGGCCCCAGCAGGACACAGCTGAATGCCAGGGTGGGAGGGGGCTGCTGTTTCAAAGTTCAGGGAGGGGGGAGGGCCACAATCTGGGGAGGAGGGGAGGGGTCCAGCTGGGGTAGGAGCACCTGCCTTCCCAGGCAACAGCAGCTGTCCGGCTGGAGGCCGGGTCGAAGGCCTCCTTCCCCTCTCGTGGCAGGTGGCCCTGGGGAGCCGGCCTGCCCTCCCGGCTGTCTGCCTCCCTGTTCAGGGGTGTAGAGTATTCCCAACCTACAGACCCCTGGGAGCCCGCTGGAGCAGCGGTCCAGAGTGGGCCTCATCCTCAGCAGGGTCACCAGACCCTCCACTTAGAGTCCCCAGCCGCCCTTTGCCCTGTGGCTAAAGTGCACCCAGGAAGAAGGTCGTAGCCACAGGACCATTTTGTTGGAAAAGTGACCTGACCCCACGTTATGGTAAAATTAAAAAGCTCAAGTTCTCATTTTGGTCTTTTACAGTTTGGAGGGCTTGGGAGGGACGGTCTGGATAAGGGTCTCTTGCAAACTTGAGCCTGTCCTTGCATGCTCCTGCTGACCCCTGGCCGTGGTGGCTCAGAGTCCTGTGCCCATCAGGTGCTTCACAGCTGTGGCCGAGTGCCCTGGGCCTGCCGAGCCGGAGCACAGACCGCCAGTCCCACTCACCCGCCCGGTGCTCGGTCCTCGCTCATTACCACATTCACTCCATTGGCCAGGACCCAGCAGGGGACACGCCCTGCAGGGAGCGGCCATGTAACAGGGAGTCCACCCCTGGGTCAGGGCTCACCGCACACCTGGTCACATGACCTGTCTCCTCCCCCAGGGTGCAGCTCCGGGGGCGGGGTCTGGCTGGCTGGGGCACGCTGCCCGGCCCCAGGTGTGCCCAGCGTCTGTTCAACCAGTGAAATATGGCACCGTCAGCCGGAGAGCTGCTCGGGGGCCTGCCGGCCTCGGTCCTGGGGCCCTCCCCGAGGAGGCAGGTGGGGGCCTCTGAGGGAGGAGGGGGTCACTGACTTTGGTGGGGGTGGAATCTTCTAGAGGGCCACAGCCTGTGCCAGGCCCCGCGGTGGCAGGCTGGCACCCACACGGAGTCCTGCAGGATGGCGCCGCAGGCTGGCCCTCCAGGAGCCCCAGGATTCCGCGCTCTCTCCTTAGGACCGGGGAGCCCAGCGGTCAGCAGGAGAGACAAACCGGACCTGCCCTCTAGAGAGCTGGGTGGCTATCACTTGGAAGAGGGACAAGAGGGACAGAGGAGCAAGGGAGCCCGTGTCACTCATCCTGAAAGACCGGGCCCCGATGGCCTCTGCAAGGCGCCTCTGCAAGGCGGCTCTGGGCCGGGCTTCCGCTGTGCCGGGGTCTCGGGGGGAAGGCACCCGTGGCCACCTCTGCCCTCAGCAGGCTCCGTCCACCAAGCTCTCGGGAGAAGTCAGGCACCTGGGGGTCAGGGTGCGAGAGGCCTCGGGCGGACACAGGCTCCAGGGCAGGGAGCGGCCTCCTCCGGCCAGCTGTGCCAGCCTCCTGCCCCTGCGGCCAGGACGGACGGTCCTGAGAGCCACGTGGCGCGGGCCCACATACTCTTGATGCTCACACACACGTGCAAACACACACCCACCTGGAGGTCCCTCAGCTTCTGCCTCTGGAAGGCGTCCACCGTCTCCTCCAGCTGGTGGGTGGTGCGGCCAGTGTCCACCGAGGCCCTCTGCACGTTGGTCTCCGCCTGACCGCAGATCCAAGAGGCAGAAAGTGTCACAGGTTGGTTCGGGCCCTTAGATGCCCCTCTGGCGGTCCCCAGGCCCCGCAGCCCTCTCTCAGGACAGCGGTCCTGCCTCACAGGATCGCCTGACAATGTGGTGATTGCAGGAGTGGCCGAGTAAGACCACGGCTACAGGGGCAGGCACTGGAGGTGGACAGACTTGCTAGCTAGCAAGCCACTGAACCTCAGGCGAACCACTGAACCTCAGGCGAGCCACTGAGCCTCCCTGAGCCTCCATTTTCTCACTTAGGAGGCCGTGTAAGACCTGCTCTGCAGGGCTGCAGGGCTGGTGTGGGAATTGCCCAGTGGGCACCCTGAGCTACCAGACAGTGGGTGACAATTAATTCCTGTGAGCAGAGCACTGTGGGTGGTCAGCTCCTTCACTGCTTGGATGGACATGTACAGACACTAGGCTATGCCACGCCCGGGCACGGAGGACCTGCTTGCAGAGCCCGCACTGCTGGGCCTGAGCCCTGAGGTGGCCCAGGAGAGCTGGGTGGAGTGCGGGGGTGGGGCCAGGCTGCAGCCACGGGGGCTACTCAGGCTCCTCCCCAGGGTCTCATCCCCGGCCTTGGCCCACAGGAGGGTGGCCCCCAGGTGCCCACATCCCGACCCTGGGCCCTGTGGACACGTCTCCTTGCACGGTGAAGGGAAGGTGAGGTCAAGGTCACAATGCAGCTCCTCCCGAGACGGTGACTCCGGGTGGTCCCAGGACGAGGGGCGGTGGGGAGGGGGGCCAGAGGGAGCTGTGACCGCAGGAGAAAGGACTTGGACACGACGGGGGGGCACGAGCCACGGGACCCGGGGCTTCTGGGAGCTGTCCAGGCCAGGACTGGGGTCCCCCTGGCCCTGCAGAGGGACCTGGCCCTGTGCCCACCTCCACAGTCAGGGCACGGTGAGGAGGGCATTTGTGCCAGTTCAGCTGGGACACCTGAGGCCACTGGTCACCGCAGCGGGGACCTACCTCATGCAGAGACCCTCCAGTGCCACCCACCAAAAGCCTCCGCAGACAGTGCCCTTGGGGGTCAGTGGCCCTGGGGGGGGTCTGACTTGGATCCGTCACAGGGGCGTCCTGCGAGGTCACTCACTTGGTGACAAGAAGGTGCAGCCCTCCACCAGCCCTGGCCGACCCCGTCTCCTCCACCAGGCAGGACAGGGCGACGGAGGGCGCCTGGTGCCCCTCCGTCTGGCAGGGCCCTGCGGCTCTGGCCCCTGATGCTGGAAGTGTGGCCCCAGAACAGGCCGCCCTGACCCCTGCAGGCCGGCCTCTGCCCAGGTGAGGCTCACCTGCGCTTCCCGAGGTCTTCCACTACCTGCCTGCGGTTCTGCCCGCCCGACTCACGAGCGACACTCACCTGGGACTGAGAAGGGACAGTTAAGGAGCCAAGGGGAGGTCCAGCAGCCCGTGGGCCAGCCACCCCTTGCAGCCCCTGCCCGGCAGGCCCCGGGCGCAGAAGACCCCAGCGGGTGCCTGGGTCCTGCCTGAGCCTCAGCCGGCTGCCCGGGAAGGATACGATCATCTGCCGGTCGGAGGGGGACTTCCGCCTGAGCTTCTCCAGCTTCTCCAGCTGTTTGATCTCGTTTTTTTGGACGCGTTTGAATTTCTTGATCTCGGCCTAAAAAAAGTCGAGGGTGTCTCCCGGGGCCCCGAGGGCCAGCCCCCCCCTGCCCGGGGCCCTGGCTCACCCGGGTCTGCTTGATCTGGGCGCCGTAGAGCTTCAGGGGCATGACCACCTTGGTCTCCAGCCTCTCGACCTGGGGAGCAGGTGGCCATCAGAGCCGGACACTGGTCACCCGGCTGACGTTGGTGGAGTGCCGTCCGCACCCCAGAGTGGCACGGGGTGACACCCCACCTTCTGAGGGCAGTGAGCACCGCCAGGGCTGGGGACCGGCCCCGCCACCAAGGGCTCTGCAGCGTGGTTGGTGCCACTGTGCCCTGTCCTCCCCAGTGAAGCGACTGGCCCCCAGGACTCCATGGCAGGTCAGTGGACGGGGAGGCCCTCGGGAAGACCAAGCCCGGCATGGAAGTCACCGAGGTGCCCATTAGGCAGGTGCCAGAGGCCACAGCTGTCCCCCATCTCTGCACAGGTGACAAGGAGCCTCGTGTTGGGGACTTGTGCTGAGTCAAGGCTCGGAAGAGAGAGGACTTGAGTCCAGCTCTTTCCTACTCCAGGGCCCAGTGTGATGTCAGATCCCCAAACTGCCTCGGGGCTCTGGCCACGGGGAGGGCAGGAGCGTGGAGACCCAGGGTCCACCGTGCAGCCGCTCGGTACGCAGCGGGCGGCCGGGGACACGAAGGCAGTGCGTGGAGACCACCCCACTGTCCCCGCTCTGTCCAGGGCTGGAACCTGCAGCCTCCTTCACAAGGGCCCAGCAGGAAGGACGGGGGGGGAGGGGGAGCAGGGGTCACCCCAGCCAGAGCCCGGAGCCCGGCCACTGCTGAGTGTGGGATGGACACTGCTGGGGTCGTAAGCAGCAGAGGGTGGGGTCAGGTGGGCACAGGAGCCCCCGGGGGCCACCCTGGTTCAGGAGGCCCCGGGGCCTGGGGGATTACAGCTGAGGCAGCGGGTGGCGGCAGGAATCCCCGGCCTGCATCTCGGTCCCTGGCACGGGAGCTCGCGGCCCCTCGAAAGCCTGGCTGGCCCGATGGCCCGAGGCGTCAAATCCCCACCGAGCCTCGGCCCCCCAGCCCTTCTGACCGTCGGTGGGGCGAACAAAGTCTGAAAGGACTTCTTTCCCAAGGGCCACGGGGGACGGACCCCCTGCCCCTCCATGCAGCGTCCCAGGGGCCAGCAGCGGCCAGTCCCCTCTCGGTGCCTTTCAGACGCCTGCGGACACCCTCCAGGCTA